AACAGAAAATAATAACATGAAATCACTAGTTGAGAAACTACCCACTAGTAGCACTCTAAAAAAAAAAACCGTATTTACAAAAGGAGATCTCGAGACCATCTTCTTTTCAGACGCCTCGGAGGGTTATCAGGGATAGAAGAGGAAGCAAGGTTAGAGATGAGAGGATTCAGATGGTTCTTAAGTTTATTGTGGAAGGACAGGTATCTGGATTGGGCCCAATCGGAGACATAAGGAACATTAAGGTCGTTATGGATTATTTTATTGGTGACAAAGTAAGGAGTACTAAGGATTTTTGATTGTAGGAATTGGATACGAGAGGAATTCGATGGCTTAGTGGAGCCCCAAAGCTCAACTCCGTGAGTCCAAATAGGTGTTATTGTAGTCATGTATACGAGTCTTTTGAAATTAACTGGAAGCTTAGAGCGTTTATATAGTAAGTGTTGGAGTAGTCAGAAACGTCACGCGGTTTCTTGTCGTTTCAGTCTGGTATGAGGATTCCAAGATAGACGTATGTTCAAGTGGGGTCCAAGGTATCGGATTTGTCCAACAGGGATAAGTGGGGTATTATTAAAGGACACTGCAGGTATTATAACTTAAAAGGGGAATGTGGTAGATAATATTCAGGCTAATTCGCAGAACATTAAGGGAGGAAAAATATTATTTATCATATAAAATAAGAGTAAAACACTATTCTATAGAGGGAATACAAATATTTTTTTATTTGTATAAAATTGTACAGGTCTTTTGACAAACCGAATCGTTTTCGTGTTATATTGTAATTTTAAAAAGTTTACAAATATTGAAAAAAGAATTCAATTATTTTATTAGAGTTGAACACCTTTAGTACTTCAAACATGCCATGAAGATGGCCCAAATGTTTGGGTTGAAACGTAGGCACTAATAAAAAATCTCAAAAATTACCGCTTCCTGATCATTTATATCCTGAAAAATTGAACTACTATATCAAGAATCTTCATCCCAGACGTTTTGGTGGGTTTATTGCAAAAATTCATTAAGTAAAATTTGATAAAATAAAATCACCTATTATGAATGTTTTCTCTGCGAAATCAGAAATTGTGTCTTTGTATTGATGTATTAGGTTGAAACTAAAGAGTAATAAAAGAGGAGTTTTTGTACAATATTTTTGCATTAAAGAAGATATTTTATTTATTAAGCGACAGACCTTCGTGTAAAAGTTCAACGTTTTATTAGTTATGAAAGTTCCTGTTTAACTTCAATGATAAAAATTCTTTTAAATTATGTTGTAAAACCCGAATAGCTTTTCAAAGGTTTCAAACAAACATAGAAATAAATTGTTTTTATTACGTTCATATAATTAATTCTGTTTAAACTAAGTAGAAAAAACTTAATTAATTCTACTTAATATTGAATAATTAATTCTACTTCTCAGAGTCTCAAACATTTTTTATTGAAGGTAGCAAAAATAAGACCTTCCAGTATTACTCTAAAATAGTTTTTGCAACCTTCAAAGGAGAAGTTCATTATGTGTACTTTCATTATGTTTTGAAATAAAACTTCATAAACCTCCTAAAATTAAACAATCTATATCTTATTTTTTTTCTCAAGACTGGTGACGTAGGTATAATAATAATAAAAATAATAGTAAGATAACAATATTCACTAGGCATCCAGTGCCACTCCTCGATAACTCGTGGAGTCAAGGTGTGACCGTAGGGTCATGGGAAAGGCTTACCTGTTAGAACTTTGCATATTTATGGAACAGTAATCTTAAGATAATAGCCTCGAGAAGTACAGCCAATGAGATTGAATAAATATATTCGGCAAGCACACTGAGTATATCTTGTTCTATAACAGTTAAATAATAACAAAATCGTGATAAATCAAAACATTTAGCAGTCCGTATGTGACGACAGGTTCAACTGTGATAAATTGGTTATTTATTAACGGCTAGCTGGCCATCCGTTTCAATTTTCAGTAGCGAATGCGGAATGCCAGCTAGGAAGGAATGAATATATAGAGCTGTTGGTATTTAATATTCCAAGAGTATTGCCGTGTTAGGGCCGTTTTGTGGTTCTGCGGCTTCTCTCTCCAGGTCTTTTAAAATTGCAGCTAGGAAAATTAAAAAAAGCCAAAGAGAAATTGTATTCCTGGAAACAAATTTTGCGCTACATATATTTTTATAGCTGTTTTATTTTATACGGAACAAGTAATAAAAATTTATAAACCATATGTTTTAAGGCTAAGCGATGTGATCGGTGGCATATATATATATATATATAGAGAGAGAGAGAGATGTGTGTGTCTGTAAGACGAAGTGATGTATCATATTTTTTTTTTTTTTTATTTCTTTATGACATTTACAACTGTATTACATAAATACATCAAGTAAATTTGGACATAATTGATATAATGACATGGATACACTTGCTGAGTAACTACCCAATGGTAGCACTCTAATGTAACATATTTAAAATTAAATTTCGTAATTGTTTAATTATTTATCAGTAGAAACATGGCCTTTTTAGTCGCAACAAATTAAAATACTTTATTTTTAATTTATCCAAAAATCTCACCTCTTCAAGCATCTTCATATTTATATACATATTGTTGGCTGGTTAATATTCGTTTTTAATATTATTATGTGTTTTATAAATTGGCTTATGTCTACTAGTCAGTCCTCTGAAAGAATTTTCCAGAAAAATCACAGAATTTAGATGAAAAATCACAATATATTGTAAAATCAGATTTTATCCCTGAAGATGCCTGAAGAAGTGAAAATTTTGATAAAATTAAAATAAAGTATTTTAACTATTGAGACTTAAAAGGGCGTTTTTCTACTGACACTCATTAAAGTCTCCTTCCCAAGATCATCTTTTATTAATTATTTAAATATCATATAAAAAAAATTAATTTTTCAGTAATAAAAAGTCAGTTATTATTAAATGTTTAACTTACAATCATTATTAAAAATTTTAAAACTAACAAATTAAGTTAAAAAGACAAATATTTTGAAATTTTGTTTTTTTGGTCCAGAAAAAAAAAATTGTATTTATGAATTAAAACAAATTTATTTCACATTGCATTTATTTAATCATGAAAAAGAGTTAAAATATTTTATACATTTTAAAATTTTTATGTTAAGGCAAATAATTTTTTTAATGTTGAATTTGTATATATTTACACATAAATGTATTTAAATAATTTGTAAATCCAAGAAATATAATAATAAAAATTTAGATTAATTGAAGTAAACTATTAATAATAGATTTTACCAAAATAATAGATGGAAGATCAGTAAAATTAAAATAAATAAAACACTGCCATACCTATGTGAAAGAATAGTAATGCAGTTTTTTTTATCTGCGGCCTATCATCCATGGTATGTAGAACAGTCGACTAAATTTTAATGATGCAGTTATACATATACAGTTTTTTTATATTTATACATTTTTAGAGTTTATTTATATTTAGGATAATTCAAGTAAACTGCTATTAAACTTTGAATTATGTAACGCAGAGTTAGACTAACCCGGAACATCCAACCGAAATAACACACAAAATGATGGGATTGAATTGGACGCACTAACGGTCCGGCGAGCATGGAACACAATGAAATTATCAAAATATCTGACATGTTTTGGCCAGGCGGGAATAACCCACAGCTTTCGGCTACAGTGGTAATTCAGTTTTTAAACCTATTAAGCCACCTTTTCGAAGTTTTATACTAAATCCTCTCTGTCGCAAATATGAAATGCAAATATGACTACATATTAGCTTATTTGAACTTGACTGAAGTATGAACTTCCAGAATGTATCTACATATTTCGTGAGACTATCATTACTACCAGAGTTCTCTAAATAATGTTAACTCTTTTCTTTTATATACAATTTTGAATCTATAATCAATTGGAGAAGGGTCTTTTTTCGTAACTAATTTCATTCAAGATGCTAAAATAATAACAATCAAGCTGTAACTTGATAAGTTATTAAAAATTTATTTTTTATATTTGTATTTTTTTTTAAGTGGGGCAGCTGCCATGAGCACGAATCGAAATGTATTAGCAAAAAACATTAACAGAACAAGGACGGAATATAATTTTTATAATTAAAGCTCTCGTCTTTAGACATTGAAACACAAGAAGACAAAACTGCCAAATATTCCAAACGTTAATCATGAATGAAAATGATAGTTAATTTTATTTGGCAAAAATAATAAATTTTCAACACTTAAATATTTTGATAAAACGTGGAAAGAAGAAAAGATTTTCTTTTTAATTCTAAAGTTTTCGTAACAATAAATATTCAGGTATAAGTTAATAAAAAATTGTTTTTATTTTTACTAAATAATTCTTGAAAAGAATTTCATATTTCCATCAAATACTGGATGTCTACAATCATATTTTGCCCATTAAAATAGTGAAGTAATAATGATGGCTATTAATGTCGAGTATCTTGAAAATTTGTTGAAATTAAAAAAAAAAAGTTTTTAGATTGGATTGTAGATTTCATTTTGTGTGTACTAAAAGGTAAAGATTTTGTTCTCAATCGCTTAGTTGTACTATAGCTAATTCATTTTTAGAAGTATCTTGTATTTGAGACCAATGATTAAATTTTATGTTACCTTTCTGTAATTAGTAATTAATTATTTTTATATTTGATATATTTTATAATAATTAGTATTGATGGTAGTATTTGGTAAAATTAACTGCATTTTTTTACAAATTTACAGGTGATAAATTGCTTACATCCTTCTACCTCCATTATCACTTCAATACACACTTCAACCTCTCCTCAAGCTTCCTCCCTCCCCCGGTGACTTGAAACCCTCCCTTTCCGGGAAGTGATAAACTACATAAATATTGCCGAGATCGGATTGGTTCGAGAGGCGAGGTGGATGAAGTTAAGGGCGAGGCTTTATTTATAAGACAGAGGTGGTGGGGGGGGGGAGGGGGAGGAGGAGGAGGTCTCGGGGGAAATAAGCCACAGAAACAAATTAAGGTTAGGTCCGTCCGTACCTAATGAGCCGCTCCTCCGGCCGTCCTCTGGGAATACACAACTTCTTGTTACACGGTGTCATCCAGGGCTTCCTCCTTCGGCCGTATGTCAGGTCTGGAGAGGAGGAGGAGCAACGTAAGGAAGAGCAAGGAGAAAAGGGGAGTAGAATAAATTGGATAAAGAATTTCCCACAGCTGCAGCAGAATTGTATTATAAAGCAATCTTGTAACAAATAAATGGAAAAAGTAAATTGAAAATAAAAATGGGTCAAAACAAGCAGAATTGAAATAAGTAAAGAAGATTTATTATGAGGTACCTATAATTTGTTAAAATATTTTATAAGAGTTACGAGTTTAAATAAACAAATAAATAAAGGAGTTCTCATGCCACAAGTACGCCAGAACTTTCAAGGTATTACAGAGATAATATTAAATATATATATTGAAGAGGACTTAGGAAATCAGGTTGAGTTCAATCAAGCCAAACGTTATAACATATTGAAGTTTGACAATGTCCACATTTTTTACTGAATCTATTGATTCCTTGAGGTAAACTGCGGTACTATGAAATAGATGTTTTTTTTTTAAAATAAACTTTTGTAATTTTTTTCTTGATGTAATATTTTTAAAAGAATATCACACGATTACATGTACTACGCCATGTTATTTTAAAAGGGGAGTGGAACGCAGCGTTATGAAGTCTAAGCCCCCATACTGCTTTAGCAAAATAAGAGAGAACAAAAATACAAGTATCCATCAATACATTTTTTTTATAAAAAAGTCAACAATATTATTATATATGATAAAAAAAAGGTGAAAATGAACCGCACCATAATCTCGCCACTCACATAGATATCTATGTTTACTTAGTTTTTGATAACGGTGAAGTATAGTAGATAAGATGTAAAATCAATGTACTTTTTTCAGCATTATTATTTTCAACTATATGTTTATGTTTTAAATTTTCTTTTGCGTAAATCCTTCATTAAACGTTTTTATTTTTAGTTTAGATGGTAATTGCAAAAAATACATCATTAAAAATCCTTTTTGACAGTAACTTATTTATATTAGAACAACAAAACAACCATATACTATGTTTAAAATAAATAATTTAATAAAAAAGCTAAGGGTATAGTACTATTATTTAGTAAATAATTTTATTAAAAATCGAGATATTTCTTTTTAAACTGATTGTTTGCAAGAATCTATTTAATAAATAGGTCGCAAAAGAAAAAGGTAAGAAAGCTAAATAATGTAAGCTATATATAATACGGTACAACAAATCCGTTTTTGGACTTTCAGTAGCGGTGGATTTTGTTAAATGCTTTTAATGCTGTCTTCGACGAACGAAAAATATATTGAAAATATAAGTGAAAGAGAATAGCTCTGTGATCCCTGAGGAACTCAGGATAACATTGAAAGACATTTTAAAAATATATTTAATAGAAAAAAAATCCTTAAAAAGTATAGCTTCTACGCTAACAGTAATAGACTCATATACTTTAAATGCTCTAATCAATAGGTCTTGAGGGGGAACAATAATGGATTAGTATGAGTTCAGGTCAGGGTTGACTGCATCTTAATTAACTAGCGAACTTGAGGGATATAGTGGTAAGTTAATCAAGTAATCTACGCTAATGAAGTTGATAAGATTAACTTTTTTTTTCGTATTCGTTAATATTATTATTAAAGTAAGCATTTTTTTCGTATTTAGTCCAGGGCATATCGATTATAAAAGTCCGCGACCCGGTACTACCTTCTCCTATTGTTTAACATGGACTGTCCATGCGAGGAACATTGTGGTTTTATATTTTTGGACTAAAAATAAACACAGTAGAGCTATATAATATGGAAATATGTTGGAATTCAGGTTAGATTTTTGATAACTTGCCAGTCGCTCGATACGTTTTCATAACTTCAATAAATAGTAAATTTATTAAGAGCATATCAATCCTCGGAAACACGGTATACAACAATGTAATAATTTTACAAGATATATTTTTATTTCTTTATTACTCAGACACAGTCCGATATGTTGGCTTTCTCTTAGACCGAAGACTGACATGGAACCCACATATTAGACTCAAAAGACAAGAACTCAGCCGACGATATGGCCAGCTATACAGACTACGGAACAGAAAATCTTTCAATTGACAACAAACTACTAATCAAAAAGACAATACTGAAACCTATTAGGAGCTACGAACTGGAACTTTGGAGGACAGCAAAATTTTTCTAACATCAAACGCATTCAATCCTTTCAGTCCAAAGTCCTTCGAACAATAGTTGATGCTCCGTTCTATGTAACCAACCAAACCATACACCATGACCTTAATATCCCATTTGTCCTAGACCTTATCCCTCAAAAATTTTCCAAATTCCACCAAAACCTTACATATCATCCAAATCCAATTGCACAATCCCTCTCTAGCTCTACTCATACTATTGTAAGAATATATTGGAGTTCTGGCAATGGCCAGATTGTCCACTCAAGCCATGGTTATAGTGTCACTGTTCAGTCTCCAATGGTAATACCAGTGATGCAGCTGATTGAAAGACGCTAGGATCTCCTAGAGTCCTGCCTTTCCCTTCACGAGTGTGGGGATAGGCTAGGCTCGGAGACCTTGAGTGAATGAATATTGTAAATATTGTATAAAATCATGTATGTATCTAAGTATTTATTTTGTTAGATTAGTTTAGGATATTTTAGTTTATATAAATTTACTTTTTGTATTATTATATTGCTGTATATTTATTGTGCATAGTATGAATGAGCTACTCTTTATCACTATTGCTATTGTCCATAAATATAACAGATTGTAATATATCTCAATAAAGAATTATGAGTGAATATAATAAAATTTCTTTATTAAAATTAATAATATCACAATTTCTAATTATTAATGTTCTCGAAGTTGTTTTTCTACATTTTATTTTCGTTTTTGGTCTTTATCATAAATAAGACAAACCGCAAACTGCTCAGTTGGTTACAAACAGCCAGATCCTCCGGTAGTGACCTGAGAACAGAGACCACAGAGATCCGATGAAGAGGTATAACTAGTGACAGATTATGGAGAGGAGCCAGAGAGAAGGACAACTGGACGTGATTGCCTTAGTTCCAGCGAGGATGGTGCCCGAGTCCAATACGACCCACCTCTACAGTTCCGTCCAATACAAACTTCCAACCCTCATCATCCCCTTTACGCCACTCGTAAACCCCCGGTCATCAGATATGTATAAATGGAAAACTTTCCTCCCTCTCAGCTCCGAAGGGGGTGGGAAAAAAAGGGGAAATTCAGCGAGACTCAGTTAGAAAAATCAATATTCTGATATAACAAATAAAAAGTTTTGCAATCTAATCTCGTGGTTCTTTTTTTTTCTTCTCCTATTCTGAGCAGCGATAACAGGTGAACTGAATTTAAAATCAAATTCTGTTGATATACTTCAACTTTTAATTTTATACTTCTTTCTCGTTGTATTCGATGAAATAAATATTTGTTTTCAACAAAAAAAAAAAAAAAGAAGCAAAGCCTGAGCGTATAATTATTAATATCCCTTTGTGTATTAACGCAGTTATGAACTTATAAAAAAAATAAAATAAAATGAAAAATTTTTTTTACTCCATGACATTAAGATGCACCAGTCATATAAAACTTATCACACTGCATCAATCGCATGATGAAACATCATTAATATAACTACCTGTCAGATTTGAAAAATTCGTTTTGCTTTCATTGTAACATTCTTCAGGATTAATAACACGACGCTACGACTCCCTAAGAACTTAAAAGAAAACACAAACATCAACCAATCGAGAAAACTGAACACTGCCGCTCACATCTCTCCGTAAATACAGTTTTAGACACAGAGACAAAGTTTTAAGCATTTTGTTGTCGAGTTAGGACTGCTGTTTTTCCTAATGAACAGCTTTGCAATACTATATCTAGATAAGGTTGCTGAGGAAATCCCCTTATATCCTCCCATCACAGAGAGAAATGAACTGAAAATAGCTTTCGTAACAAAATTATATTTGTGAAACCATCAGACATTTCAGTCAAGCTATTTTTTTTTTGTATTGTTACTTCTGTTTTTCCACATAAATTTCGAATGTTAATTAGTTAATCAGATATGCTTTGTCAGGTACACAATAACAATGTATAATCCAAATTTAACCCGAATGAAACAGGAGCTAATAGCTAATTAATAAGAGCCAGCCATTTAAATTCCAGAGAATTGTTTTTCAATTTTAATTATACACACGGAACACAGTCTATTTTATACTTTTTTTAAGGTAACAAATAATTATCGCGTTTTATTCTCTCTCCTAATCGGTAAAAATAGAATGTCTGAAAAAAAAGTTATTATATATAATTCTCATTTTCGTTTTAGATTAGACCATCGAATCTTTATTAAATTAAAATATAGCACATTTAGATGGATTTTTTAGTATGATTAACGAAAAATGGTCATCTTAAAATGTATGCAATTTTTAGCCCTTATAGCAAACAATGGATATTTATTCTTACGAAGATCGCTAAATTAATGAAAGAGACTCATACAACAGCTGAAATTAAAACATTTAGAATGGGTGCCATGAGCTAAGAATATAAGCCTCTAATTAAAGATAGGCTTTAATTGGTTGGCTGAAGGATAGGTTAAAGTCATCGAAACTATACAAAATGTTAAGGTGTTAATTTTATAAACATTATAAGTATATTCTATATTATTTATGGCATAAAAATAGAATAGCTTTCAGTTTATTTTTTAACAATTTTCAGAAGTTAGTATTTTTTAAATAAGACTGACATTTCTTTGACACTAGGCAGTTCTTTTATCTGGCTAGGATTGACTTAGCCACCCACTTAAAGTATAAATACAGATTGCGTCATGTAAAAATTATACCAGATAAATATTTAAGAATAAATAATTAATATTAATTATTTATAATTTACAAAGTTGTGAGTCCTAAAATCCTAGAATAGATCTCCGAACAGAGTTTGATAGGACTCGAGGTAGAGTAAAATTCAACTAAAAGTCGAATGGGGTCCAGCGAAGATCTTCATTAAAGGGAGGAGTGCTATTGTGCTGATAATTGCGGGTCTAAACCCCTCCCCCCGCCCCTTCAATGGGTATTCCCACTTCTCCTTCAAGGTTTTGTCAATGCATATTAAGACACAGGAACACAAACATACGAGCATTTTGCTGTTTTGCTAGTTTCTGAAGGATTATAAAGTTTAGTGCCTTGAGAAAATTAGGTTGAAAAAAATTATTTTTTTGTTTAAAGTCAAGCTATATGCTTTTGAATCTGGCAGTTGGATTTCATAATAAAAAAAAATTGGAAAACATTTTATCATTTTACAGTTCAGTTAAATTTTTAACTAAATATTTTCAAATTCATAGTAACATCTGTAAATTGTTATTTAAGATTTTAAATATTATTATAATTTTACTAATTTTAATTATTACTCAGCCTCCGCTGGCTTTTAATACCAGTGAAGCGGTTGAGGAAGAATCGCAGGGATCTCCTGAAGCCTCGCTTTTCCCTCCACAAGTGTGAGGACAAGATTGGGTTGGTGTTGCCGTGGTCGATTCTAAATAGTGTATATAGTTCGAGATTTTTTTATTTATTTTATTCTATCATATTTTAATTTTATTATTATTTTCTTCCCTCATTATATTTTATTTTGTTGGATATAATTTTGTTAATTACCTTATTTATTTATGATTCTGTAATTACGGTGTGAATGTGAACTCTGGACTCTATTATAAGTGTCCTTAATTGAGACAGATTGTAATATTTATCAATAAACAAGTAATAAAAAAAAAAAAAATTAATAGGCTCATTATCAAATATATCACATAAATTTATATTCTTCATTATTTAATGGTTTCTTATTCTTTTTTATTTTTATTTAGTTGTATTGTACTTTTTGTTTCATTTTTTGCTAAGTTGAATTTTTTTTTAAATTAAATTTTAAAACATAAATTAAAATTTAATTCTTTACATTATTTGATTCTTTATTTGTGACAAAAATTAAAAAAAAAAAATATAACACTTTATTAATCTTTATCTCATTTAAATAAATAAATTAATTAAATTTTAAAAATGTCTATAAAATGACAATTCCCTTATTAATATTATGATATGATAAAAATCATTAATGAATGTAATAATACTAAAAATTTTACTAAAATATTTTTTTACATAACTTTTTTATTTATTTATTTTAAATGATATTTACAACTGTATACAAAAAAATACATCTAGTAAATTTGCACATTGGTATTGCACATGGAACAAATGTTGAGAAACTACCCATTGGTAGCACTTTACATAACTTAGTAGCTATTTTAATTAAGAAAATGCGATTAATTAAGAATATCGAAACCAACAACCGAAATAGCGGTTGGCTTTATCTCATTCAAAGGAATGCTCAGCCGGAAAATAAGATTATTTCGGTAACTTAAATATTTAGTGTACCACTGAGTCATAAAGGAAAATTATCGTGTAAACTCGAAAATCGAAACGTTTCCTCGTGAACCTTAAAACAACATTCCGGAAAGCAAAGCTTTTAACAGCCCACGTATTTACTGAGGAACGCCACTAATGAGTCTCTTCTGCCAACTCCAATGTTGTCGCGACTTATAGACATCGGAATTCCAACTGATACAGAATCGTACCGTCACCAGTTTTCAACATAAAAAAAAAAGATCTTGTATCTAATATTTTCAACGTTATCGCATAATTAAAATTAATCTAATTTGATCCGATGAAAGAAAAGGTTGCGTAATAGACCATTCAGCGTTATGTTAACAAACTGGATCATTAGAGAGATATTTTATTAATTCAAATAAGCTCCTTACAATCACACCGAAATATGCAAATGAATATCGGATCATGCCTCGGTACCACGAAACGTCTTACTGATAAATTTACAAGACGGGAAAAGACACTTTCGCCATTGGCCAACAGAGTATGAGTCACAAATGCAAAGTGACAACGAAATATGTTAAAATTTGCATACCAGTAATCTATAAAAAGGATCTTTTTTTCGCCTGACTAAGTCTAATGGAGTTTTTTAAATAAATAACTAAAAGGAAAACAGCCTTGACATGAGTTGAAAACATAATTATTTAACATTTTTATCTCTTTAAGAAAGATATTATATTTCTTTTTTTTTTTTTTAGAAATGGAAAAACATTAATATTAAAACATTAAAAAAAAATCTCTTCAACGACGTCCACACCCAAACGAGTTTTTATTATTCACTCAACCCAATGGAATATAAATTATTTATATTTATTAGAAGAATTTAGTAATGATTGAATTATGAAATATATTTTATATAACCGCTCCGTTAAAATTGAATATGAAATACAAAACCGAGGGCTATAGGACTAATATAAATAATTATTTTTAATATTTTTGTATATGGATCCTTTCATTCCTTATTGTTTTAAAATCAAATTAATTTTCGTAATGAAGCAGAGATGTTTGACCGTTGATAAAATATGAGAAGGAGTAGATCGGGGGGTGCGGTCAAATTAATACTAAATTAAACAAGTATAATTATTTAAATAATTATACTTGTTTAATATAATAAAGTGGCAAAAATTAAATACTTTAATTTAGATGCTTTAAATACTTGTTTAATTTAGTATTAATATGACCGCACCCCCGATCAACTCCTTCTCAAATTAATTTTCAGTTTACCGGGCTTATTTTTATATAAATCTTTGTTTTTACCTTGGAAAAATAAATACAACAAAAATGTATTTATTATTTCATGTATTTTATTAAACTATAAACTGAACTAAGATTTGTTTGTTATAGTCAATCATTATTCAACTCCACTAATGACACAGGAGTAGAAGATGCCTTAAATTAGAAAGGAAGGTTACTAAAATACTGTTTAGATAAAATACATTTCTTATGGATTATATTTATAATTTATTTATTTTTACATATTGTAAATATAGTGTGAATGTGCTCTCTGAACACTATTATAAATGTCCTTAATTGTGACAGATTGTAATATTCTGAATAAATAAATTTAAAAAAATTATAATTTAATTAAAAATGCAACTATACCACAACATGAAGGTATAGGATTCTGAATTCAGTACCGTATGAGGAAAGATTAGAGGATCTAAAAATTCCAGGATTTTTTTTTTTGATGGGGAAGGGGTTTGTTGTTTTTTTAATAACGGATAATCCCCGCTGGAAGAAAAATGAAATAAACTATATAAAATAATTAAAGCCTTGTAAAAAAAACTGTGTACTGGAACAATAATGCTTTTAGAGAAAATTAAAATTTAAAAAAAGTACCATACATATATTGATTATTTTTATTAAGTATTTAGATCAGATCACTCACATAAACAAATATAGACCAATAAGAAAAAAATTATTTTTCCTTTTTTTTTTTTTTTGTGGGAGAGCTTTAATCCAAAAGTTGCCCCTCGTGGATTAGCCAGTATGAGTACTGTTTCTTGACCAATATGGTTTTCATGTAAGTACTCAGGACAGGATCCAAGCTCAATCATTATCCCTTGAGGATTATCCCATAAGTCAATGAGCCAGGAGGGTCCATTAAGTTTAAAGAGATCCCAGAAGATAATAGATTTAAGACTGCAGCTCATATGTCCCGGCGATAAGATATCACTTTGTGGGTATCGCTGTGGATTATTGCGCTCTGTGTGACTGCTATAATGCAATAGATAGTAACATCGCCAACAGGAATATCGTATTGCCGAGGCATATCGCATTTTTGTGAGTAGAAGCCTTTATTTATTCAAGTTATGTATCGGGAATGCCTAACTGATTTAACTAACCTATTACATAATTTACATTTATAATCCAGACAAAAATCATGTGTTATATTGAAATTCATTACTAAAATATAATAATATTGTATTACCGCTCACGGGCTATTGTGAAAATGTTATTAGCTTGTCAGACAAGATTTTTCAAAAGGGTATATTCAGCGTTATTATGGATTTTTTTTCTCCTACCACAAAAGTTCCTCCACTTTAATAATCAGAGCTAGTTAGGGGCTCCCCCAGCGACGAAATTCCTGAGGAACCGCGGGGGTTTCTGAAAGCCTATAAGAAAGGAAGTTTCTTTACGAGGTTAATATTAGTTTGATGAGGTCCTGGCTGAAAGGGCCGGAGTAAATGCCCCTTCTCCCTCCCCGCGACGGACTTTGGATTAGTACAGTTTTTCTTAACTTTTTTTTTTTTACGAGACGAGTTGTTAGGCATTGTCTTATCTATTCGCCTTGATATTGCAGCTGTTCAAACAGGATACAAACCGTCATAAAACGCTGGTATTTCATATGGTCGTGTCTAAGGGATTGCAAATGGGAGAGGCATAAGGACATTTTATAGAGCCCCTGACAAAGGTAAAAAATATTAGTTCCAATATTCAGACAACCGCGGAATTCCACATATTGTATGATATTAAAAACATCTGTCTGATCTATTCCAACCAAGGCTATAATAAAAAATAACAATGTCTATTTTAATAAAAAAGCGGGATATAAAAGGACCCTGTTGAAAACAGGTGCATTGGTGAACTTCTCTTAAACTTATATTTCTTTCATACTGTAATTTATTTATTTTTTCACTTGAATTAAGGTTAATTTAACGTGACTAATCTATAATGATATTCATTAAAAAACTACATAATAAATATAGTAATCCCATGCCGCCGTTCTGTGCTAACAATGCGGGGAGGGTAACCAATTGCACAGCGTGAGTTGACAAGACATGTCCCATTAATGTCAGACTAAAAGGGATCTAACAGCTCCTTACGGCAATAAACTGTACTCATGTAGTTGGGACTTGATTCTAAAGTACTTTTCTTCTCAAAGGTATCTTAGTACGTATTGCGATACTTAAAATATTTTAAATCTCAACTTATATATTATGATATACAGAAAAATGATTCACCTATGGGCCAAGTTTAATTTAATTTTAGTTCTGTTAAGTTTAGAAAATCAGTATGTCAGTGGCTTAAGTGCCATCTGTAAGTCTCCACTGACGTCCGATTTCATTGATGCGGCTGAAGGAAAAGCGCTGGGATCTCCTGGAGTCTTGCTTTGCCATCCACATATAGTTCGTACTACTTGGGCAAATGTAAAAATTGTATAGAATGAATTTTATATGACTTTTTTTTTTTTTGTATTCATTCATCGTTAATTTATTACGTTGTTATCTATATTGATTTTGTTATTTTGTACAATATCTATATATACATCCTGTCTTTAGTATTTATTATATTATTATCCTCATATTTATTTTTTACCTTGCTCTCAATTGTTTGTTTCCTTTTCTTGTACGTATATATTTTAAAAACTGATATCTTTAGCACTAATGCTTATGAGTGAGGCAGATTGTATATTCCATAAATATATTTTTTAAAAAAATCAGTATAGACAAATTACTCACAAAAGACCCTTTTACTGAATATGAAATCTTTTATTACAGATAAACCAATCTATTAAGGAATTAGAGAACTTAGAAGAATGTATAACAAATCAAAGTGAAAAAAAAAACAACAACTGTAATTTGAACAGATTTAAGCGAAATATATCAGCCTGTTCAATTTCCGGTTGAGTCAAAAACCCATACGGACCGAGAAACATTACGAAACTGCTTGAGAAAAAGTGAAACAGCGTAAAACTCAATCAGAGGATGAAACACCAACCAGCGAAAGCGAGAATTAGTCTGACTCTGGTGAAACCTGATGAGATTGTGGCAACGGCCAATAACGAAGTATGAAAAAATCAGACATCCCATACCAGTGGTAATTATTACACAAATACATAGAAAATAATTAACATTTCTCAATGATAAAGATACAAGAAATATTTTACGTAAATATATAAAAACTATATAATAGGAAAAAGGGAATGTTTATAGAATAAACGGAGCAAGAAGGAGAAACGTCCACCCTACATCGACAGAGAGGAACTGCGGACCAGACAAACAAACTGAAGATAAGGCACGGAGTGTAAAGACAGGATTCGCTCCGCATTCTCCGGAGGAAGGGACACTGCTGAGAAAGAGGGGAGGAGAATACTTCAAGGGATCCGGAATGACAACACGAGTCAAAACAACTTCGGAGTATCAAGTGCCAGATTTATAATTAGAAAATACATTTTGTAATTTCTTTTATCTAGATTAATATATCGGAAAATATTTTTGATTGATTTACATGGAATTTTCAAGCAAAGTGAAGTTCTATTACTATAAATTTGCAATCGCACCCGAAAACGAATGTTTACATAAAGCCTAAATAATAATAATAATAATAATAATTACAGACAAAATTAGAAATTAAAACAAAGTTACGATGTTAACTTTTTGAAACCCTCCAATTTGTATATTAACCAGGTAAGAGGGGGCGGGTATAGAAAGCTGGATATTAAGGGAGTCGTTTCGGAAGGGTTGATAGCATTTCCATTTTTATAAGGGTCCAACGAGGTTAATACCTTTGACGTGGCAGGATTTAAATTTCACCACCTCCGCCGAATATTTCATAAAGCGGCCAACGTATGTTTCCCTTACCTGTTGCGGCAAATTTTACCGGGCTTGATTTCGTTAGTTGGGAAACAAAAATATTCTAGAATAATGAATACGGTCCTATTTTTAGAGCTCTGGTTACAAAAAAATGTACAATAGGGAACCAAGTACCTAATTATTTGTTTATGTAAAAAGATTAGTTGTGTGGCTAGACATCCCAACAAGACACGGTAACCAATCCTCAAGTTTTCTCCAACCAAATAGCTACTCAATTATCTATACGGGGATGTATGAGCCCAGTGGTAGATTTGATGTTAGGACAAAATCTTTAAGAATCGTGGAGACCAAACCCTGGCTTCGTGTGTGATCAGATCTGACACCTACAACGTCACAACGAAGATGAAAAACAATTACCAAATAACGTTTTACATTTCCTTCATAAACAAATAAAATTTAATTTTGAGAAAACCGAATACTATTCCTTCAAGTCATAAGTCATTCAGGTATAACCATATATATGAGCATATTTAACAACAGTAGAAAAAAAAACACTGGTAAGAATAATTTCCATTTGATATAATCGATCAGATTATATTAACAAAGTTAAACTTAGCAGCGACGCTCAGAATGACTTAAGAGTGCAATGCATAATCGTTCCTTTAACTACACTTGGACATCCATCGAAAAGGAATACTTTTATAAAACTGAATGAAAAATTACTCCTCTCAGACTATTTGTTTGCAGAGACGCTTCTATAAAACAGTAACGCTATTGTAAATTGAAACAGTTCCTATAAACACTTCCCTAACTTACTCAATACTCAATTCAACTTTACTGTAACGTGTTTTCCGACAATGTTTAACATTTAACGTTAAAGAAAAATCGAATTTGCTCTGCAATCAAATTGGCTGAAATGAGTCATTTTTCATTCAGTTTTATAAAAGTATTCCTTTTCGATAGACGTTGAAGTATAGTTAAAGGAACAATTGTCATTGAATTTCATAAAATTATTCCTTTATATAGGAACGTTCAAGTTGTATTAAAAGAACGCATATGCATACCATACTTAATCACGAACAACTACTATAATAGAACTTTATTCGAAGCATAAAAGTGAGGAATAAATGTATATCATTCCCTTTTTCTAACAAAGTTTAGTATTGTATGTTCCATTAAAAAAAAATATGTTATGAGAAAATCTCACGGTTTACAACTAGCACGTAGGTATAATGCATAAAAGTTAACATAACAACTGCTTGATATTTGACAGAAAATGTCAGAAATCTAGAGAGGAGCGTTGAAGAAAATGGATAAAGAAAATGGTGTAGAAGGGGCGGAAAAGGATGGTTGGGTGAAAGGTGTCGCAGTTTCCCCGGACAGCGCCATTGTCTCATTGTTAATGTTTCGGTCGATTCTCGCCCCCATCCTCAACGGCGAAAACTTTCTTCAGATTCGTCTCGGCAAGTTTTGTGTTTTTCCTTCTTTGTTGAGGCTGATCATCTCCCCAAAACGGGTCCCTATTCGTCACGCTCGTCATCCAGGAGGACATAATGAACTCAGGAGAAAGTAAGCTTGCGCTATGGAAAAGAAAAGTATTGGTCCCATCGGTACCATTAAGGGCACAACAGGATTATTTTTGTTGGTGAAATCGCCATATCCTTCTGAACTTACCTGATGAAACAGAATAACACCTATTAAGATTATCCATTAAATACTATAGAAAAATAGAAGAAAAAAAAAAGAATTTAAGCTTAGAAAGAAGCCAAATATAGTTCATATACTTGTATTTTATATGCATGACAATTTTTTTAATCCAACTAAAAACTGTTACATAATAATATTAACAAATATTTATTTCAGAAAAAAAAAAATTAGTTAGATGAAAGCAGGACAAATCTAAATGAGAACTTGCAACAAAACTCAAAATTGCTGCCAGCTACACACAGAATGTGAGTAGCCAACTCAGCACATTTCAAATTAATTTAAATTAATTAATTAATTCTATAATTTCATCACTAAGAAATATCTTCATCTGGCTGAGGAATCCACAACATTATAATAAATGACATACATTTAAAAATAACTCAATTTCATTTTTATATTTAATCCTCTGTTTTGATTTTTTAATTCTTTGTTGGCAAGCAAAATTACAATTTATTGTTTTATTAAATATGTCTATAATACCTGTAATAGCTATTCCTATATTACATATATTACAAAAAGTAAAAATATCGTCGGTTGCAAGAAGTCATTAAGTGACATTTCATCATAACCTTAAATTATTTTCTTTGATGATTATTTTCTCCTTAAAATCAGAACATTATTCAATTGTAACTATAATTGGTATATAAAAGAGTTTATACTGTTCGGTACACTTATCGCGTTTTGTTAGAGATAAATAAGGTAAACATTTCTTAAAACTTCAGGTCCACAATGAATTTACTTACAATTAGTGACTTTTTGCAAGACACCGGAGATATAAAAAAAGCTTAACCCGTTTACGAGTAAATATTGTTATTTGATTTTCGTTGAAACTTATCACATCATATTAAAGATAAACATGTTCTATGCCTAAGTTCATTAATTTTTTCGAGAAATAAAATATAAACCTACAAAAAAATTTGGTTCTATTGATTTAATTAGAAAAAAATAATAATGTCAAATCCACCAAAAAGCAAATTTTGGCTATAAGATGTTAAACGATTTTAGAATAAAACAGCATCAATATTACAATCTATCCTGTAAGACTATTTCTTATCTTAGACTTTGTTTGTTCCTATTTTTAGGAACAAACAAATTCTAATTTGCTTGTGAATGTCAATTATCAATATTGGACCATTATAAATCAGTAAAATTTAATATTAAAACCATTACTGGAAGGAAATGAAGAAAAATATATTAAATGGATTATTTATACAATTATTTTATGGGAAAAATATAATCTAAAACGCTATGGCAAAGAGAGGTGGTTTGGAGAAAACAAAATAAAATGGTAAATGCTTTAATGAAGAAAGCTGGAATGAGTTCACACCCACCATTATTAACACTAAATATAAAAGTGGGTAGTACTCGTATGCAGGAATTAGAAATATCTCTCTCGAGAGCAATCAGTTACCTCTTTAATGAGTTGAGGGGTCTCTCGAGAAAGGGTTGAAATGGGGGATACTTTTCACACTAAAAACCATTCTTTACCTCCTATTTTTTACAATTGAAATTACTGAATTACGTTTTACAAGTTTTAACCAAAATACTTAAATTAATACTTTTTTTAACATTTACATTGAGGCTAATATTATAGTTATTTTAATTTGTATTAATAATACCGTAATTAAAAAAAAGAAAAAAAAAAAGAGAAAATATGAAGCTGATATTCTTTATTCTGTTAACCAAGGAATAAAATTTTGTTCAACTCGTTTCACAATGAGGATATTTATTTGTAATAATTATTATAAAGTAATAGGATCACACATCAAGTAATAAAAGGAAATAATTTTAAACACATTGATTTTATTTATTTCGACAAAATATATTAAAACATACTATAAAAGAAAGAAGGAAAGAGATATTTCGTCATGCTCAGTCAACAGATTAAACTCTGTAGCGAAGTCCTTAATTAATAATATAAATAAAAAAAAAATAACTTACCTAATTTCTTATAAGACAAAGATTTCAAAACTCACCTGGAATAAAAGAAAGAAAAATAAATAAACGAATAAAACATTTTTCGGTTTTATAAATAAAATTATAGAAAATAAATACAAAATTAAGAAATTGATATAGCACCTCAAATATAATAATTTATTAATGTTTAAGATTATAAAGCATTAAAAGATAATAAATATTATAATATATAATATAACATAATAAAATATGTTCGTACAATTATTTTGGAATGGAGATCTTAAAAGTGTTTAAAAATGACAAAACGTTGAATTTATGAAAACAAATTTTTTTTAAAGATTTCTTTTTAAATAGAATTAAAATAAAAGTAAAAGATAATATCATTAAGAAAACTCGTATGGTTTTTTGACAATGTACAACACCAGTGCTGATTAAAACGACTTTTAAACTTCGTTTGAATTATTTCAGATATAATGTCACGAGAACAGGCAAACATAAAGTATTGAAGCGACAGGAAAGGGAAAAACATGTATCTTTTTAAAAAGTACGATTGTGTCGAACAATAAATTGCTGTTGGCTGTGAGGTTGCCCAGGGGTTCAATCCTAGCACCAAAAATGGGGAGAAACTGCACTGACCCGTTTGCATACATCAGAGCTGTCTGTTGGGTTTCAGCCTCCAACAGCCACTAATCATTTTTCAACAGGATACGGTGCTAATGAGCCGAAACAGATGGACAAGAAACAAGATTGAATAATACACAATGAAAACAATAAATAAATTATATGATGTTAATTTATTAAAAATAAGAGATAAATATATATTAGTACATGAATATTAAATTAATACTAAGTGATAAAAGGTAGATCTCAAACTAAAGATACGCTTTTTTATTTTATTTTTTTTATTAGACGTGGTAATGGAATTTATAATCAGACATTTCCAGGCCGTACTAACTCAGGTCCCTGAGGCCCGAGTTTCCCAGTTATGAAAAACTTTTAATTTGGATGATGTTCCATTGTTTTCTAACAAAAAAAAAAAAAAAAAAAAAAAAAAAAAACCTTTCAGACAATGTCCCTATTAAATTATACGAACCCTATTAATATTATAACTCCGTTGCTGAGCTTATCGGATTTTCAACGCAGTATATTCCGATAAATCGTGATACAATGACTGGACCTCAATTGATTGATTCGCAACCTGTCCACAGACTTGATGTATCGCACTTGTCTCCTATATCCCAATGTATTCCAACCGAGAAAGGTCTATGTTAAAGTCTAGTAAGGATCAACATAGACTGAAACTTATTCAACCGATGAACATTGAAATCAAGCACCAAGAAGGAAAGAGAGTGACTCAAATTGAACGGGTACAGTACCGTTGAGCTGCCTTAAAGGGACTTAGTATAAGCTAAATTTGCGATGGACACGATGACGTAACAGCTGTCAACTGTGACCAACCAACCAGTTGGCTTACAACAGCCCCTAGCTCGGGTCCGATTGCGTAACAACCTTAAATTCAACCATGGTTGCACAACACGGGGAGGAGGGGGCTACTGTCTTGTCTTATAATAACATAAAGCCCAGATCTCCCGTTGCGATTTCCCTGCTTCCTCGGGTGTAAGGACACGCCGGCCAAGAGGCTGATAAATTATGTCAGTTAGTAAGAAATTACAGGCTGGTTTTCCGCACACAAATCATCCCTGCCCACTGACTTCTTGGGATTTATAATGCAAAGGCTCCGAAGGATAAACAGCATCTGTCGTTAGGCTGCATTAGACCGGGCCACGAATTCCTCCTGTATGACGGTGCTATAGTGATGAGATAAATCCGCTATCTTTAAAAATAAATAAAAACTTATTATTACTTTAAACAAGCGACTGAAAATAATATACTATATTTTTTCCAAATCAAAATTAAAAAACTAAACGAATACACATATTTACTTAAACTCATAAGGACATAAGCCTCACAGATTTACAGTTCTGTAAAAACTACAATATTTTCAGACAAAAATGTTAACACTAATAACAGCTCCGTGGTACGTAAACAACAAAACTTTTCATACCGACTTTTGACAATCAACTATAGACAAACACATACGAACTCTTTACTTCTAATTTTATATTAAACTACCAGGACACAACTTATAAACGAAATGGTTTATAAGTTGAAATTTATAAAAGAAAACGATTAACATGTCCATCAGAGACAATTGAAAAGGAGCTGGATGGGAGGTATCCTTTCCTCAATAAAACAAAATCATGGTAAAAAACAAAGATCACGAAGATATGCTGATGAGCACTGCCCTTCCTTATATAATACATAAAAACATATAATGAAATTATTATGGACATCATATCTGCTGATTACTTACTTCTTTTATGAAATGTGCGAATAAAGGTTTAAAGAGAAAAAAAAAGTATTAATCTATTAAAAAATATACAAGTTTTTAACTTTCCTGATAAATGTTTACGATATTATCCCATCTCAAGGATATAACGTAAGACTTGACTGATTATATTCGATGAAGAAACTTTTTTTTTTGTATTGGATAAACATTTTAATAAGTAAGGAATTAGGTTTAAAACCTCTAAAACCATCAAGAATGGAACAGTAACCTTAAACTTCAATTACTATGAACAAAGCGCAGAGATAAACGTCTAAGTAAAGTATTTTTGTCGTCAACTTTACTAACAATTTCTTTAAAAAAACAAGCAATATTTTAAACTTTATTTATTCATTTCATAGCCTTATATAATTTATTTATTTTTAGAGGAAAATTTATTTATTTTTTTAAGTGATTTTTTTTATTTATTATTTTATACATAAGAGGCATGAAACACATAGATGGGAAAACGATACTTCCAGTCACTATATATAAAAAAAGCATTAGTTCCCGAAAGTATTTGGTGGGTAATAAATAATAATTTATCTTTCGGAATTAGATCT